ATGGACTACCAGATAACCCTCCTAATCGCTTTTAAAACCATGCTATCTGGTCTCAATGCAAATGTAGAGTGGTAGGGTTGTTTTTTATTTAGAAGGTATGGCTTATAGCTTGGCTTTGAGGCCAAGATGCCTAAGTATGTGGGTATGCAACTGCTGACTCATAAAGAAAAAGACTTCTGTTATCTAATCCTTAAGTGAGGGCTTTATATATGCAACACATTTGACTATGCATGATTGTTTTAAATTTGGAAGACTTGGCTCCTTGAAGGGAGTCATATAAGTTTCTTTTTGTTAGAAAATCGTGGAGCCTAAATCAAATTTTAGATTGATTATACTTTAATGAGTAGAAATCTTATTTTTGTCCTAAGAGCCTACCGCAACAAAAGTCCAAGCCACACCCAAACAAAAGCAAGGAAAGAAACCTAAGAAAAAGATGCATTTCTATTGCACAATCAGATAAACAATCAAACATGCTTTTATTTATATCAAATGCAAGGAAATGTAAAGAGAGTCCACATTATTACAACCAGATTTGGCAGCTGAGTTGCCTGCCAATATACAACGCAGTCAAATTTACAGACTCTACTTGTGGGGTTCTTCAGGCTCTTGACTTTTGAATGGACATTAGGCTTCATCTTTGCAGGTACATCCTTCTAGTCCACTTCATTCTTTTGCTCCAAACCCCCACAAGTTTGAATACGCATCCTAATTCTATCAAATACATATTTGAAAAGAAAAAGACACAAACCTGCAAAATAGAGTTAGAAGCAGTTCATATAATAAAGCATTACATTCAGAATTTTGTTTAGCACTTAGAGTGCCAAACACATGCTTCTACCCTATTGGCCACATTTTTGGGGGGTTTTAAGCAGTACCTGTCATGCAAGCATCACCGGTGTATCTGATTCAAATGCGCTTTCAGTTTGGGTTTAGGAGAATGATGGGATTTCCTACAACTTTTGGGTTATAGGAATGAGGGAAGGAACATGCAACTTAGAGGTTGCAAATCCATGAATGTTCTTTGAACATTTGGTGTTCAAAGAGGCAAATTCATTTGCCCAATTTGGAGCTAGGCAAATGGGGACTTAAAGGTTTCCTACAATTTAGGCTTGTAGGAAAAGAGGTGGTCCAACGTGCAACCTAGAGGTCGCAGATTAGAGGAGTTCCTTTGAATGTTCGGGGTCCAAAGAAGAGGGATTCATTACTCCAATTTGGGTTGGAGGAATGGAGAGGATGAGATGCAACTTGGAAGTTGCAAACTCTGAAAGTTCCTTGAACATTTAACATTCAAAGGGTGTGTAGAGCACACAAGGGGTGGCTTATGGGTCTTTGGAAACCCATATATACCCCAAGTTTTCCCTACTAATTAAATAAACATGCATAGTAATCTCCTAATAATTTTAAAAGTGTGTAATCCTTAGAGAAAGTGGCCTACACTATTTATTTAGATCAATTTTGACATAATCTAAATTCTAAGCAACATGCAATTGATTTGGCCAAATGCATAGTTTCCAAATTTGGGTGCTATGACGGCGAAGCCTAGGTTTGTTATAGGCGATGGTTTGAACACAATATGAATGCTATTACATGCATTTGAGAGGTTGTCGGATACAAATTCGACCACCCTACGCATATGGCATGCCTCTTTGGCTCTCACAAGAGAGCAAACAAACGGAAATCACCGGATTTCCGCTGTTTTGCGGAGAGTGCAGCGCACATGGGTTTAGGGAAAGAAAACCAATGAAGTTTCTAAGGGACCTATGGTTTGGGGACGTCAACCACACATCAACGGCCTTGGGGGACTCTAGGTTTCACTAAGTTTTAGGATTTTACCTCACCCGGGTTGTCCTAGCGCTCCTATCCAAGCTCCAGGCATTGTACGAGCTCCTTCGAAGGCTCCAAGTCGCTGTCCAAGACTTTCCCAAGGAGGAAGACCGCTGTCGAAGCCTTTCCGGATGTCGCCGCTGCTGTCCAAGCCTTTCCGGAGGGTGGATTTGCTGTCCAAACTGCTCCGGAAGGTAGATTTGCTGTCCAAACTGCTCCGGACAGCAGTTTTCGCTGTTTGGATGCTCCCAACAGCAGTTTTCAATGTTTGGAAGGCTCCCGGAAGTGATTGCTTGCTGTCCAAACGTTCCAAACAGCAGGTTTTTACTGTTTGGAAGCCTTCGGAGGCTGCGTGGCTGCTGTCCAAGTCACTCCGGAAGGCTCCTTTGCTGTCCAAGGCGCTGTCAAGCCTCCAAACAACTAATTGGAAGCTCCCAAGAGCTTACAAACTGCTGTCCTCTCCTGTTTACTGCAGCAAGGGTCGATTTCAGCACCTCTGCCTTGAGTTTTTGGAAGAGAAGGCTGCCAACAACAACAAGATGGGGTTTCTCCTTGTTGGAGGAAGAGAGAAAACAGAACACAGCAGGAGAAGGCTTCCTTTCAGTCCATGAAAGGAGAAAACGGCAGATAGAGGAGAAAATCCCCTTTTCACTTAGCTCCAACTCAAAGAAGTGCTTGCAGGAGGAGAGGGGTTCGGCTGGCCTTGGAGAACCGAACCTGAAGGAGTCAGCGGCCAAGGGAGACGGACGCCTTGGGGCGTCGGGAGACTTGGATGGGGACGAGCGCACGAAACCCACAGAATCCTTCCTCTTCCGCCTCCCTTCTCTCTCTCTCTTGCTCTCTCTGTCGGGACGGGACCGAACGAAGAAGCCACGGGGGAGCCGAATACCGCTCCCCCTCACTCTATCTGCTCTCTTAGGGACGCACGCACAGCAGCAAAGTACCGCCCAAATGGACCAATGCCGCCCCTCATGGGTGAAACGAGGGATTTGGGGTGGGATTTCATGTAAAATCTCAACGCTTGATTTCAATTTTGATTTGAAAATTAAATTCAGCCCACATTGATAAATTAGGGCTGAAATTGAGTCCGGATTGGACTCGACCCGAACCGATTTGGGTCAGTTTGGGTCTGATTGAGTCTGATCAAGTTAATTTCATGAAATTAAACTCGAATCGGCACCGAATTGTGTCGAATTGGGCTCGACGACGCTCGACGGGCTTTAATTTAAGTTGATTTGATTTTAATTAAATTAAATTGGGTTTAATTTAATTAAATTGAGGCTTAATTGGATTAATTTCACCTCGACGATGATCAATTGAGTTGATCGAGCGCGATCAAGCTTTGTCGGGCTCGATCGGGGTCGAGTCGATGCGAAAATATTCGTCAACACCACCATGGGTTTATTACCTTCTGCTCTATGAAACATCTCTTTTAATTATATAGTATAAATACTTGACTTCTAATTTCTTTTCTATAGCTATGTACATTATGAAAATTTTCCTCTCCTTAGAATTAGGCTAAATTTTTTGGCCCCCTCGTTAAACATTGACTCCAGTCACTGACCTAACAAGTATTATACTTGCACAAAGTTTGCACAAAGTCATGTTAGCTTTGAGCCTAAATTAAAAGAAACTCTAATGCAAAACGTGCTCTAATATGCTTTGTTTTGCTTACTTTGTTCTTTCTCTTGCTTGCTTACTTAAGAGACTTTTAACACTAAATGACATTTTCATATCAATATTTTACATAATTTCGCTATATGATAGATAATCTTCTAAGTGAATGCACATGCAGAATTTTATGCACAACAAAAAAAAGAAAAGAAAACATAAATCTCTTCTTCATAACGCCTTCACACATTCACTAGAGGAAGAACATGCATACTATAAAAAGTACAGAACCAATTTCCCCAAATTAATCCAGGAAAAGTGATTAAAAATCCTATCTTCATTTTTTTTTTATCACCATGTCTCTATTAATCCGGGGAACTTTATCCACAAAGCTTGAGTTTATTGATCATATTAATAGACTAAATTATCTATTTAATCTTATTAACAAGATTGCTGATGATTTGGCTCTTATTTAAGCCATAGCTTTTTATGTAATTTAACTATTTTTCAATTGCTTTTCTTGTCATTTCTTATCTTATTTGTAGGAGCAAGAGCGCAAAGAAGGAGAGGAGTTGAATAAGTTTAAATCATAATGAACTCAAATCTTTTGCATAGTGGAAAAGAATATAGTTCAATGCGTAGAAAAGTTTCGAGCATATTTTGAAAAAAATCAAAACGGTGATGAAATGAGCATCTTAGTCCAAAAAGTAAACTTGAAGGAAGAGATCTAAACAACTCTTAACAAATTAGATGAGAGAAAAAAAAAAAGCTTTACAAATTTCATAGGATAAAAAGGTGCTGAGCACTATCCACCCTGCAAATTAACTCTCCCGTTGCAAGAAATCCAAAATTATGTTTGCCTAAAGGAAGAAGGAGAAGATGGGAAAAAAGGAAATGAAGTGGAGGGGGTTGATGTGCTTAAAAAGACCCATTATATTATTCCAATAGTTAGCCTACGACTAGCCCGAAAGAAATTGATAAAAATTTACAATTACCATGTGGCAGACTATTTTCGTCACGTGATAGATAAGTTGCCTTGTGTAAGGAGATTTTCGTCACATAGCGATTAGATCTGTTTTTAAAATTAAAATTTTTTCCTTCTCTTTCCAATTAATAAAGTAATAAATTTGTTGTACTTTAAAATTTTACCTTTTTATGCTAATGTCACTTGGCAAGTACATGAAATTTGTAAATTAGGTTGAGATGGTCATAAACTACAAAACAATCCATTTTAAATTTCGTTTGTCCAAGTCTACCAAGAATTTTACGGAAATTTGTTTCTATTGTCTGATTTCTCTTTGTGCCTTGCTCTATATTGTTTGCATCATCTACCAAGAATTTTACGGAAATTAAAGAAAAAAGGATGTAACCGGAAGAATGCTCCTTGATAACACATTCATTTTGGTAGATTGCCGACCAAGCTTTCAATGTTGAAAAAAATTAAGAAAATCTATCCTCTTAGTTGACCTTTATATATTTTTGTTTTCTGATTTTTTTCACTTTTTTTGAGAGGCTTACTATTTTTTTCTAATTCCAGCGTGCACATTTTAATTTTATTTCTGTAGATTGGTGAAGGGGAGAAGCTTGTCAGGGCACTTTTTGGGGTTGCAAGTTGTCGCCAACCAGCAGTAATATTTGTGGACGAAATAGACTCCCTTCTATCACAGGTACTCATTGCTTTCTTCGTCAAGCTGTATTGTTGAAATGTTTGCTGATGATGTCCTACTTGGAGTGCAGAGGAAGTCAGATGGTGAACATGAATCAAGCAGGCGACTTAAAACACAATTCCTAATCGAGATGGAAGGATTTGACAGTGGAAACGAACAAATCCTTCTCGTAGGTAGTACATAACTAGAAACTTGATGTTTATATGGATGAATTGATAAATTATCTTATGATTTTCCTTTAGTTTTGTTACTCTTTTATAATGATAAAAAGAAGAAATAAACTAAAAAAGGATTGCATTGGATAGATGCCATGGGGAAATAATACTCCCATACATTAGCCATTAAAATGGTAAGGAGCTCTTGGTATGATTGTGGCTGATGTCAAGTCTTTACCCCAAACTTCGTTTTGTCACCAACCAGACTGTTGACATATATTTTCACGTCGAATCCAAATCGAACCCAATTAAGCTTCGTCGGGTCTTGTCGAACGAAAAGTTGATGCGATTCGGTGCTGATTCAAGTTCAATTGAAATCAACTTGATCGGATCCAATCGAACCTGAGTTAACTCAAATCTATCAAATTCAACTTTGATTTAAGGCTCAATTTTAGCCCAATTGACCCAACTCGAGTTCAATTTAATCCCAAATAGGTTAAATTGACTTCTTGACCTTTTGCAATCATTTTTTCATATCAGAAACTAAATAAATTGATTGTCAAAAAGCTGCTATTCACCTGCCACTTCCCTCTGGTTTGTGCTGCTACAGGAGGGATATGGCGCAAAAGATCTTGGGGTGTCAATATTTGACCCGACCTCGACCTGACCCTAAAAATTCCGTATTCTAGTCAAACCCATTTGACATACCAATTGTGTTTGGGTTCAACAAGTCATCCCATTTCAAAAGATGGGTCTAGTTTGGGTTGACCCGAAAATGACTTAGGTTGACCCGTTTAATCCAGCCTACTGTTGTATGCATGTACCGCATCGGTGCCTTCGCCAAAGTTGAAATTGCGAGATCTTCATCATGCGTCGCCAGCCTTGAATCCCGAACACCTCCCAGAACACCAAACTCTGCTCCTCTACCACCAGCTCATATCCGCTATCACCTTTTGCATAAACCAAAGGACCGAAGAAATTTTCCCAAAGTTTATGTGAAGCTTAGGCCTGAATCAAGAGCATTTTTTTGTTCCCATCAACAAGTCTGATGACTCCTTGTCATCGACTCAATATAAACCTAAAGGGTTTAGGCCACCGGCATCTGTTCCTTTATGAAGCCCGCCAAAACAAGAAGCAAAGGGAAGAAGGCACGCAAGACAAGTCGGTAGTGATAAATCAGATACTCCTTTATCAATATCTACTGCACAAAGCACAGACCGAAGGAACCAGAACTTTGAAACTCAAGTTAAAGCCGTGAAAGGTGCAACTGTAACTCTGACAAACGTCAAAAGTTGTGAGCACAACAACCACAGAAGTCGTGAGTAGAAAGAAAAGGAGAGCTCGTCATTAGTTGAATTTATAAAATTGTTCTATTTTATTAATTCGAATTCATATACAAATTTGTATATTGCATCTTTTACAAGCTTACATCAAACAAAAAAAAGTATAATGCCCTTTGCTGAGGACTAAAATCTTTATTCTAAAGCTATGCCTGAAACAGAGAAGTCCTAGAAATTGGCGAATCTACAAAGCCTCGGCAAATTCTGAATGACACATGCAATTGTATAATAAAAATATTATATTCATATATGATTGCAATACTAATGAATATTGAACATATGCAAAATGCTAGAAGCTAAGGCGACAATGTTATTTACTATCATCCCTCAAGAAAGTAGCACTCTAGGGATTTGAGTATGAAGTGTTATGTTATTATCCTATGTCTCTACTTGACTAAAGCCAGCATATCAATTGCATTATTGACTACAATCGCATTCAACGATCTATAAAGACACTAAGGTAAACTCTTAAAGAGCGCCAAAATGAGAACCTTAGCTGATGTAAGACAAACATGCAAAGAGTTGATTTGGAATTGTAACAATAAAGATTTAATTTGCGCATTGCTAATTAGTAACTCATGCTTCAATCAAGTTAAATTCTTAGAACTTACGTTGGAAGATTAGATAATAGTAAGCCGTTATAAGAGGTTAGCAAGACAATTACAATAACAACAAAAATTAAATAGTAGTACTAATAGCAACTAATCAAGAATCCACAGCGTAATATCAAGACATGGTCACTTAGAGTTCCTACTCACTCAATCACTCTTAGGCTTTATTGGTTGAAGACGAAATATACGATGAGAGAAGCTGCCACTAGGAAGATGGTACCGAAGGTCTTTGTTGATGGAGAGGTAGCCACGGACGGAGAAGGGGAAGATCTCCCGACGAGAAGCCAAGGCGTCTTAGGCTTTTGGAGATCTATCGTCTCTGCTAAGCAATAGAGGATGCGTTTGACATATCTTTCCACCATTTCGTTGTATTCCCAATCAGGAGAGGAGGATGTCGATTTCCCCTCGATCGTTGTATGTGAAGCTGTGATCGACCTCAGGATCGGCCATGTACCATTAGCATGAGGAGGAGAGGACACAAGGAGGAAGACAAAAGAGAGAAAAGGGTGGTGGAGAGGGAGGCCGGCGGCTTGAATAGGAGGGAGAGGGGTGGGGACGGCTTGGAGAGGTGGGGATGAGGCTAGGTTTTGAAAGAGCTTAGGTTCGGTTAGGGTGGAGGTGTGGTTTAATCTAAATCTGAAATTAATCTCAGATTTTGATTAAATTTGAAGGAAAATAATCTGAAATTTTATTTCAAATTAAATGTAGTTAAGGCATTGACTGAGAATTAATGAGGGGAAGCCAAATGGGGGCCGACGGCTTAGAAAGAGAGGGGAAGAGAATTATGGGGGAGTTAGGTTCTTTCCAAACAAGACTTATGAATTAGGAAAGCAAAAAAATAATAATTCCAATTTATTTTGAATTTAGATAAAACATAAAGCGTTAAAAGTAAAGACGCTGAATCGTAGCCGTCGATCTACGATTCCGTCGCCGGTACACGTGTCTCAATCTCTTAGCGATGTCCTCAACATTCTTCCCAGGTGGGAGAAAACTCGACCCCGTCGAGTCAGCATCCAATCGCTGCAACTCCTCACGGTTAATCCACGTATTCTCCGTCTCCGGTTTCCCAGTCCATTGAACTAGGTACCTTTGGCGGCCACCACCTCTAGTGGAAATAATCTCATCACCAAGTATAGCTTCAACCTTCTCCGCAGAGGGGTGGATAGTGATGTTTGGGAGTGGGGGTAAGCTAGGGTTCTCACCAGGTGGGTTTACACAAGGCTTTTTATTTAGTGGATTAGAAGGGTTAAACTCAGGACCCTCAAAGGCTACCAGATCTTCAATGTTAAACAAAGGATTAATATTAAAACCTTTAGGAATGTCTAGCACATATGCATTACTATTTATTTTTGAAGTTATTTTGAAAGGTCCTGCGCTCCTTACATGTAACTTTTTAACGGTCCCTGGTGGAAACCGCTCCGGACGGATCCGAACAATTACAAAGTCTCCAATTTCAAATTCTTTGAATCGTTTCTTGAGATTTGCATGCAGTTTATAATTAGCATTGCTTTGTTCAATTTTTGTGTTAATTTCTCTATGCAACTCTTGGAGATGGGATGCAAATGCAGATGCAGACTCAGATGCTCTATGCTTATGAATCATAGGGATCAGGTCTATCGGCTGTCTAGGTTGGTATCCATACATAATTTCGGCAGGACTTAGACATGTAGTTCGATTGGTAGAATTGTTGTAGGCAAACTCAGCTAAAGGCAATTTGGAATCCCAATCCCGTATATTATCTCCCACCAAGGTCCTTAACAGATTTCCTAGGCTCCTATTCACAACCTCAGTTTGTCCATCTGTCTGGGGATGAAAAGCAGTAAAAAATTGAAGTTTGGTCCCCATCTTGTGCCATAAGGTTTTCCAGAAATAACTTGTAAACTTAACATCTCGGTCCGACACAATAGTTTTGGGTAGCCCGTGGAGTTTAACAATTTCGTCAAAATACAATTTGGCGATCTTAGAAGCATCGAAAGTTTTGGAGTACGGGAGGAAGTGAGCCATTTTAGAGAATCGGTCAACTACCACACACACAGAGTCATGCTTTCTCATAGTTTTGGGTAACCCTAACACAAAGTCCATGCTAACATCCTGCCACGGTTGGTTAGGTACAGGTAGTGGTGTGTAAAGGCTGGTGTTTTGCTTCCTTTGTTTGGCCAAATGACAGGTGTGACACCGCTTCACTAATCTGCTAACGTCCCTCTTAAGAGTCGGCCATTAAAATTGATTTTCAACAGCATCGATTGTCTTGGATTGACCAAAGTGACCTGCTAAACCACCAGCATGTAATTCCCAAACAAGAAATTCACGAAGAGACATTTTGGGAATACAGAGTTTTTGGGACTTAAACAAATATCCATCTTCCAACATGAAATCATCTATAATCCGTTCTCCTCCAGTTGCTAACGCAGAATAGGTTTCTTTAAAATCAGGGCAGTCTAAGTAGTCTTCCTTAAGTCGCTCGTAACCTATCACTTCCATCCTGATCTCACTAGTAATCATCATTCGACGACTTAGTGCATTGGCAACCTTATTCTCAGATCCCGCTTTGTGCCTAATCGTGTAAGTGTATTCTTGCAAAAATTCAACCCATCGACCATGACGTGCATTCAGTTTCTTTTGGGATTTTATATATCGCAGGGCTTCGTGGTCAGAGAAAATAACAAACTCTTGGGGAAGCAGGTAGTGTCTCCAGTATCTGAGGGACTGAAAAATGGCATAAAATTCCTTATGATAGGTGGAGTAGCGTTGCCTAATGTCGTTTAACTTTTCACTAAAGTAGGCAACCGGGTGTTCTTCTTGGGATAATACTCCTATGCCCGATGCATCACACGTCACTTCAAAAACCTTAGAAAAATCCAGCAGTCGCATGAATGGTGCTTCAACCATTTTTCTTTTTATCTCCTCAAAAGCCTTAGAGGCAGATGCCGTCCAGTGAAATTCTCCTTTCTTCAAACATTCAGTTATCGGACCCACTATAGTGCTAAAATTCCTAATGAATCTTTTATAAAACGTGGTCAGTCCATGGAAACTTCTAATATCTTTGATGTTCTTGGGTTCAGGCCAC